ATTAATAAATAAAAAAATAATAATCCAAAATAAATTGAACATTGTTGTAAGGATATTAGTATATGCTTAAATATCATAAACAGTACAGGAAGGCGTGATAGGCATGGCTATATTTAATATTTACTCATTATAATTCATAACAAATTAATATTTCAACCGTTATTTCGGGTGATTTATACTTAAAAAGGTATAGGTTCAACGGTAACACTCAAAAAGAGTTGAACACTCACAAATTTCTCAACGGACAACGTCAGGTATTACTCCTCATTGATCATCGCTACATCTCAAAACTATATGAACTCGAAATTTATTATGGTGGTCTCTCCAATATTCAATACATGCAATAAGAAGGGATTTTAAAAAATATTGGAACCAACAAGTACGATAATTCAGAGGTAATTCAGCGTATTACCAAAATTACTATACTGATTCATTTGAACTTTCCTTTGAACCAAACTTGGCTTTAAATAGTGTCAAATAATAATCCATTAAAACCTATGTCACGGCCAAGAATGTTCCGTGCGAAGGCGGATAATTAAGCTAGTAGAATAATAATAATAGCGTTGAAATATCTTTCCATAGAATTTTATGATTTCTACATTTTTTTTTTCTTTGTTGCTATAGACTTACCCAAATAGCATACTGTAATAATTAACTTAAATGTTAGAATAAGATTCAAATATCATTTAAGTGCATTTCCGTTCGAGAACCATATGACGATTCTAAAAAAATGTGTGCGAAAAAGTCAACCTCTTCAACAAGCAATAAAACGCTATTCAAAACAAATATAATTTAATAAATATCACTCTCGACGTATCAAGTAATTGGAGTTACATACATGATGATTACGTATCAAAAAACAAACACACTGAAAGACCTTAACCAATTGATATACAGAGTAAATATCAGTATATATATATATACTCGTAATGCCATTTAATTATAGCGAAATTAAAGCAAAAATATAACCGATTGCTATGTGCAGACAAATGATGGAGAGATAGTAAAAGTAGTAAATTTATGTTACACTGATAATGATTAAATTATTATGTTTGGTTATAAATGTACAACCCCTTTGGATTTGTATACAAATCCGTAAAAAAGTTTAAAATTAAACATTTTTATTGTTAATAATTTAGATAACACGTCGATTTGATGATTAGTTAAACACATAAAAAGTAAATTCATGATTATAAATAATAAAATAACAGTGAAAATAAAAAAATTGCTATTACTATTATTCATACTACTTTAGTAGTTAAAATAAATATAAAATACTGCTTTATGTTATGAATACTTAAAATATATAAATATAATATTTTTTGTGTTTTTAAATTTCAGTATTCATTTATTGGCAACTATGTAGTCAACAATTACAAATTTATACCTCATATTTTAGTATTGTATTAAATTTTATCGTCTTATTCCTATTGCCGATCAACGTGAGTGCAGGCCCTTGGGTACACTATATTCTATATCTGTAATCTCCAGTCTACCATATTCTTTTCTGCACTCATTTCCGATTAAATATGTTCGCGTTCAATATCGCATTTATTTTAAAACAACAGCAGTTGAACCGTTTTAATTCCCGTGATCGCTATCGTTGCAACTCAAGGTGTATTGATTTCGGATGATACATTTTCCTTTGATAAATAATTTTTTCCCTCAAAAAATCAATGTTGCTAAAATGCATAGCAATATTTTTCACCCAGATTCATATCAGCGACATTTTTACAATAGATATATATATACTTGGATATTTATCTTTAACACGCAAAACACGTATTCTGCAACATGTTACTGAAATTAATGAGAAAACTAGTAACAGCGCATTACAAAAGAGTTAGCCAATGATACCATTATTTTCCTTATCTCTAAATTCTGCTTTATTCTCAAAATTATAGTATAAAAGTAAAAAAAAATAATCTTATTAAATTTTTTTGTAAAATTTGCATACGAATCGTTGAACAACATTGTTGTGCAATCGTCACACATTTTTTACGTTTGATGTTGCTTGGTGTCATTAAAATGAAAAAATTGATATAAAACATTGATTTTGCAAGTACTTAACAAGAATAAATGTAGTTATTAAATTAATTTTTTGCTATTTAAAGCCGGGACTGGAACCTATAGGTTTTTTCGGTTCCGATGTCGGTTTTGGTTGTTCAATTAATTTCTTAAGGGTTCCTGTTTAGGTTTTGGTTTTTTAAAAGAGTAAGGGTTCTAGAGCCGGTTAATTTCGGTTGATTCTGATTATTAGAGATTTATTAAAAAATAATATGAAATTATTTATTTATTTTTGTTTAAATTATAATTGTTTCATTTCATGAAAATAGAAGATATTATGAATATTTAAAAAAAAAATAATTATAAATATATTAAATATATAAATATTATATCAACCTATTATTATATTTCTTTTAGTTAGGTTAAGTTATTTTATTTCAACTCATAGTATGAATTTGTAAAATATTTTGTAATATTGTGAAATATTATGGTAAATATTATGATGAAATAAATATCTTTAATTTAAAATTTAATTTTAATTTGGAATCAAAGTTAATACTGGCTGCTGTTATAGCTACAAATTATTTATAAACATTAATTATATTTAAAACTTAATAGACAAGATAGATGATATACTCATTGTAAATTGTAATATATTGATAAATATACAAAAATAATAATATTAATAATATTACAAATTTACTTATTATATGCATTATACTATTACAGTTTACAACACAACACAGTTGATTTTTATTTTTCTGAATCGACAAACAAAATATTCATTACCATAGTTTTACTAGTCTAAATAACTGACCTAAATTAGACCTTTTATAATGAAGGTTACGGTTACGGTTTTTCATTTTTTTAAAATAAAGGTTCCGGTTTCAGTGACGGTTCCTAAATTTTATAGGTTAACTGGTTCCAGTATCGGTTCTTTTCGGTTACGCTTCTGGTCCCTGATTCAAAGCACCAACTGATGCATTAATACAGTTATTTTAATATAAAATAACCAGTGTGTTTTAATTTTTAATACCTACATTACATTTTTAAGAATTAAGCTTAATTTTACAAATCTTGTTCAATATATGACTCCTATAAAATTCTATGCATTTCTACATGTTACAATCAACTTTAAAAATAAGTAATTAGTGCAAAATCGATGTCATACTTCGATTCATATGAAAACATTGCAAAGAAGTATCACGAAAATGTTTATTTTTATATGTCAAGTATAAATTTACACTAAAAGTGTAACTGAGTATCTCTTTTTGTAGTAATAAATCCCTATGTTATTAATATTATTAAATTAAAGAGCTCAGTCCAACGATTTAAAAACTGCGTTCCACGTGCGCAATTTTTTAACACAGACCCGTGGGAGGCAAGGCCCTCCCATACCACCTCCACCAACCTTACGTATATTTTTAATACAACTTATCAGTTACACAAGTATTTAGGTTCCAAATATTAATATCGATAGCATTAATGATAAACGATACAATGAAGTATATACCAAATTATAACCGAATGTATTAGATATTAGTATTTATATTTTTCCTAAAATAATGACGTCTTCGCTTATAACCATTTATACCATAACCAACATATAATCTTTTACTATGAAAATATATTTTCTCATCTACCTATATGGGTACTAAGCGTAAATATAATTATAATTACCACACATTTGAATTAATATTCAACCAGTTATATATTTTGTATGTTGCTAAGCGCGAGTCGCCAGGTGAACGCGTGCTGCATGTCTGCATAGCACGGTTTTATCTATAACTATGCTGCGTAGTTACTACATAATTTCGGCTAACATAGGCAGTGGCATAACAAGGGTATGGTGAACTGTGTCTACACCTGGGGCGCAAACTGCAAAGGGGTGCAACATTTTGCAGAAGTCGTGTTTTTATCCTACAATCAAATCGAAATTTTTCCATTATATTTTTGAAATACGTAGATGTTGTCTATTTGTACACACTACGCGTGAATTTAATGATGAAATTATTAAAATAACACAAGGGCATTTAAATATACGAAGAATATGAATCACATGAAGAAATTGTCGATGAATTTGCCAGTAATAAAGCAAGAAAAGCAAATGCAATTTTAGAAGTATTAAAATCCATGCCAATTTTAATACCTACAGAAAGATAAAATTAATGTCATCTATTAAATACAAATCAAATATCACAATTGAAATATGTAAAAACATTAGCATCAAATTCAAACCGAGAAAACAATAATTGATTTTATTTTTGACCAGCTAAATACATAATAAAAACGAATAAAAATATTTTAAATTTACATACACGTTATACATCCTTTAGGTATTAATATTAACTATTGATTCATGAATCGTATTTATATATTTGACATATTACACGTATGCTATTTTTACACACATTAAATCTTTCTAATAAATATGTTTGCGTATAACACGTATAACAACGTCGTTCGAGTACTGCGTATATTATTGCATAAATCGACGGTTTTGATTGGATTGACGGACGATTTTCGAACAGGAGGCAATTCGAGTTTCACCGATGTGAACCATGGTGGTAGTCGTCTGCTGTGCGGACATGGTTTTTTTTTCGCCCGGGTACCGACCGCAGGGGCGGTACGGACGGCACACTGGTCGTACGCAATGCGTTGCGGCCGAAACGAAATAAGGGACGGACACGCGTTCGGATCGCGGTCGAAAGCAATCGCATCGGGCAGCCCGCGGTACGTGCGCGATCAACGTGTGTTATATGTATACTCGTCGGACAGGGAAAAAACGTTTTCATGCGCGATAATTGGAACGTTGTGGGAACCGTTCGGGAAAACGAAAGCGGCGCTAGCCCCTCTCGTCGCGGACATTCGTTACGCGTACGCAGCGCGCGCGCACCGTCCGACATCGCGGCCCGTCCCGAGACGTCGGCGGGCGGCTGCCCCGGCCGGCGCTGATTGGCCCGCCGACCGCCGTCCTGCCCATATCCCGGGGACGCCGCTCCGCCCGGGTCGCGCCGCGGTCCGCTCCAACCGGTTGCCCCGCAGCACCGGGCAGTATTGGTGGATCGCGCGCGACGGCCGCACCGCACGACGAACGCCGCGCGTATAGCACACGATCCGTGTCCCGCACGCAAATGTCCACGCGCTCGACCACGGTGTCCGCGGTGGTCCACGCACGTGCGCCAACAACAGCGGTCACGGTGCCGCGGTGCCAGTCTCCGAGGCGACAACGTGTTGTTCCCGTATCGCGCACACGTACCGGCTAGTGTACGCCGGCGATCGATCGTTTTGTTTTTCGCTCGTCCGAACGTTTTCCGGACAATCGCTACTTTCGCTCTCGTCGTCCGCGCGGTTCCGGTTGGTCGGCACCGCAGCGGTGGTACTATGGACGTGCTGATCGTCAAGGTCGAGGACAAAGACAGGAAAAAGGCCAACAGCTATAACAACAACAACAACAACAACAACAACGACGACGACGACGACGGTTGCAGGAAGAACAGCGGAGGCGCAGCGACGGGCAAAACGGCGACCGCGGTGACGGGCGTGCCGGCGGGCGTCGTCGCCACCGGCAGGTCCGAGAAACCCCCTTACTCGTACATAGCGCTCATCGTCATGGCCATACAGAGTTCGCCGGTCAAGAGGCTCACGCTCAGCGAGATATACGCTTTCCTCCAGCACAGGTTCCCGTTCTTCAGAGGCTCCTATCAGGTAAATACGTGCGCAGTGGTCTCGATGCGCACCCGCCCGGACCAAACTCGTTTGCCCGCGGTAACCGAAACTTGTAAACCGACGCAAAACAAAAAAACGTTTACAATGTCGAAAAAGTTTTTATTTTGCACACGCGACCCATTGAATTGGAAAAAGTTGTTAAATTAATGGATAAATAAATGTACAAAATAATAATTCGCAACATGATCTCGGGACGCATGATTTTTCATTAGTTTTTCGTCACAATATTTTCTTCGGGCCACAGATATTTTCGAGAATTTGTCGAAAACGTTCATGATCGCCTTGAAATTCACGGTAAAATTGAAATGGTCGTGGGCTGGTTACACTCCTACACATTCAATTAAACTCGTATCTAAATCTCATTACGGTTTAAATACTAATGATTTTCATTACTTTTGACAGACAAAATGTTATAGTTACGACGAAATCGTATTAGTTGTTAATACACATTCCATCGCTATGATAAAATAAATATTACATCAGGCGGAACCCAATGTAAATAAATATAATATAGTACGCATACATATACTACGTGCTAGTAGTAAACACTAACCCTTTCTTCGTGTGAAGGGCCAAATTAATTTTCTTACATTATCCATCCGCCCCCTGCGAGCAATTTATTACGTTTTATGAGGCGAAACTTCTAGGCATAATGTTCGGTCTTTTGTATCTTGTGCAAGGGACCGGCCAGGTAAGGCCATAGCCCTACCTGAAAATGCCTTGCTCTACCGGTGGCCCTACCACTGACCTGACCTTAGACATAATAATACAGTCATTTTTCATAAGCAGAAAATATTAAATAATGGTATTTGTATTTTGTTCACTGTATGCAATTTAACAATATAAAATAAAAGTTTGTTTATTTAAGTTTAAGAGCATATATATTGAAACACGTGAAACTAAGTCACTAGACATTAATGAAATAATAAATAATAAATATCAGTAATAATGAAATAATTAATAATAATAATAAATAATAAATTAATAAATAAATAATAAATAAGTTTGCAGATGCACATAGTGATCGTAGAATTATTTTCAAGTAGTTTTGTTATAGATATCATTTATAGTGATCATTTAATATATTTAAATATAGTAATTAACTCGTTTTAATTGTTTTTTTAATTTTTTATTATTTATTCATTTTTTGTTGAAACACCATTTTTGGTGGCCCTACCGTATAATTGTTGGCCTCCCATTGACCCTGCCTAGCAAAAATTCCTGTCGCCGCCACTGCTTTTACCAGAGTTAGTTTGGACCTTGTCACGTCCTCATTACGTCTAACGGGCCTAACCGTCCCAAACCCCCTTTAGCATACTATAGTAACACATCGCATACCAACATGTTAACCATGGACATAATTTAAGGGGGGCGAAAGTGCAATCGCCCCCCCTGAATCCGTATTTAAGGAATTTATTATATGTGAGATGCACATTTCAATTTTTTTTAATGTAGATCATTTTATAACGAAATCGAATTACACGTTGCTGTGAATACTGATTTGAGCTTTTTGTCGGGTCCATACTTAGTGAAAAATCAAATAAAACACAAGCGTAACTTTCAAAACAGACAGGTGTTACAAAAGAACTACACAAGTAGTCATCGATTCCAAGTGGATCCGGTATAGGATTAAAAAAAAAAAAAACATATTATTAAGAATTCACTTGATTTAAATATTACCAAAAATTTAATTTGTAAATTTTGAACTTGAATTGAAGAACAAATTTGAGTCGCCCCTCCCCCCTAGAAGTAAGTCCAAATACACGCCTGATATTAACCCTATTTGTACTCATATATTTATCCAGTATTAATCGGCTTTTTTTTTTTTTTTGAAAATAACCATATAAAAAACAATTCGTAAATGTGTGTGTACTTCTTTCTCGTAGGGGGTTAATAAGTTAATATTATTTTAATTTAGCTTAAAAATCATCAAATAACCATTTAGATACTCTCAAACAGTAATGGGATTATAATTATGAAATGAAAAATATTTGGTTTCAATCGATTCTGCTGTCCTTCGTTGAAAACTTTGTACCAAATAATGCTTGGACTCCAAAACCATTATTCATTATTGTTAATACATTGTAAAAATATTTCAATAAGTGTAACGATATAACGTATTTTCTTAATAGCTTTTATACAAAAAAAATATAATAATATTGGAGGAGTTGTCTTTTTTGACCATTCTGTTTTTTGAATGTATCTGAACATTTTTCCTTCTCATTAGCTTTACTTAATAAAGTTACAAGATTAGATAAATTATTGACGGCGTAGTGGATTGGTTAGATCTAAATTATTTTTACTATTTATAAATAAACATTCAATTATAATTGATAATTTTTTCTATTGTGGTTAAGTTCAGATCAGTATAAACAAAAACTAAACATAGTTTAATCAGATAAACACATTACAGAATATCATCGAATTCTCGGATTTATCCGTACTTATTTTGTGGTTATAGTTATAGACAAATCTGATACAAAACGATTATCATTAAAAATATTTAGATATTTTTTAAATATTAAAAAATGTTTAAAAATTGGCACACTCACCGAGTAGTTTTTTTTTACCATTCAAATTCAAAATATAATCAAACTTAGTTACGACTAATCTGAAAATGCAACTAAGATATGTATGGGTACAATTTCAGGCGTATTTAGATTAATAAACCACAATTATTAGGATATAATTAAAATACTTTATGATTTGTATTATTAATACAATTTAATGGTAAATATATTTATCTATATATAATTTAATCGTTCTGCTGCAGCTTTTAATACATATTTTAACGTGATTTAAACATTTAAATTTATAAGAATACAATTGTATTAAGAGAATCTATTAATAATTGAAGTATAATTATCTATTGATACACATATTCAATGTCTTTCAAATCACTACTAAGCCTAAGAAAATATTTCTTTTCATATCCCTGCCATCGTCATTAGGTATACTAGTTTAATCTTTAAAACGCAATCTTATGTTCTGCCATTGAACTCCTCCATTTTTTGTTTATTTAGTAATATTTTATACAAGCCCTACACATAATATCAATATTCAATATATTATAAAAGTATTATAGACAAAAATTAAATAAACAAAAAATTATAAAAGAATTCAAAATATTTACTATTTACCATAAGTTCACGTTCGTTTTGTTGGTGTTATCTAAATGTCGGAAAACCAATCGAGTATACCGTACGCGGGTGACTCATATTTTATGATAGTATGTCAACCGCACGGCGAATACTTAATTAATGAGCTATAGACTGGTCTGATTAAACTTCTACGAATATGGTTTCAAATAATAATGTAATAATTTCGTGTTTGTAATTGTTTCCTTTATCTTTTCGCGACATTCGTCAAATCATATTATCCAATACCGCTAAAACTTCGGGTTTCCAAGAGAGCGTTTCAAATCATTTTCGTAAAGACGAGAACAATAGGTGAGTTATTATCGAATTTTGTTATGATATGGTATAGACTTAAAGAATATAGTTTACACGCTGAAATGACGATCAAAGCAACAGTTAATTGTATTGTTTTCGAAACAATAAATACAAGTGATCGCGGAAGTAGTAAAAATCGCGTAGAGTGAAAATTCGATACTAAAGTTGCCAAACTCGAACAGTTGTATTCAGTGAATGTACAACATTGAATCGTATCGAAATTCAAGTGCACACGTTGCAAAAAAAGCCCCAAATATACCGTTTTAATTCATTTGGAAATATACATTTATCTTGCTGAACCGTTTCCATTGATGATTCCATTGTTGTTCATAGGTTTGTTAATTAATGATTTTTTTAACATTTCTACCACAAAATAAAATTTGATAGCACAGTGAGAACATCAAGTCATTCAAATATATTTTTTATTAAAAATATGGTGTTCGCGTTTTGCATCCGAATTCCTTTACAGTTAGCTCTCGTTCTGTAATATTCATATTGATCTCACACACGTGATACTTAATATGTAAATTCCTTCGAGACGCTTGTCGCTTACAAGTAATTATTATAAAAGGTAAACAATAACTACAAGTATCACTCTCAGATCGTATTAAACATTGTTAGAAACCAAATTAAAAAAGGGATGTACCTATTTAGATTTAAGATCATCTCAAAGTATTCTCCAAACTTTAGTTTCTCTCACTAAAGTTATTTAATATTTTGAAATGTTTTTGTAAATAATATAGATTAAACGAATTTCTGAATTTATAAATTACAATAGTTCAATGTGAATACTAAATAACATGGAAACTTGTTGAGTCAGAAAATAGAAATTCTTTATATTCTATCATAGTAAGATTTTAAAAAGTTGAACTTCGATCAGTTGGATGGAGTGGAAATTAATTATGCATAACTATAGTCGTTCGTTATATTGTCAGAGCGAAACTGATACTCGAATAAGTAAAATTCAATACCGACAAAAGTGTAAAGACGAAAACAGTTTTAAATACCCTTATACTTAATGTAAATCACGTTAAATGAACGTATTTATTTATTTATTTTTCGCTCTTGGCTCTTTACCAATGTTTCATAACGTTGTCAGTAACGCGAACACATATTCTTCGCCCCCGGTCACATTGCACTATGGTAATACGAGCGTATGTTTGTTCAGGGCTGGAAAAATTCGGTGCGACACAACTTGTCGCTGAACGAGTGCTTCATCAAACTACCGAAAGGACTGGGTCGGCCGGGCAAGGGCCACTACTGGACCGTGGATCCGGCATCGGAGATGATGTTCGAAGAGAGCTCGTTCAGACGACGGCCCCGGGGATTCCGTCGCAAGTGCCAGCAGAAGTCGGTCGTTCCTATGGTCGGCAGTGGCGGCGGCGGCTACCAGACTTCGCAATATCACCAGCACCTCCACCATCACCATTATCACCAGAATCTGCAGCAGCAGCAGCAGCAGCAGCAGCAACTCGGTCTCGGTCAACTGCAGCAACAGCACCCGTCCGGCCAAGAGATTCAGCGTCCCGCCGGGCACGAGATGCAGCCGCAACAACAGCTTCAGTCACTACCACCGGCCCCGGCACAGCAGCGACCGCATCAACCACAGCCGCATCAACCGCAACCACATCAACCGCAACCGCAACAACCGCAACCGCAGTCGCAGTCGACCGTGCCGTGTTATCTGCACGACCAGTACGATTACAAAGATGCTGCGGCAGCAATGGTCGCCGGGTACCAGCATCAGGACTTCAGCGCGTCCGGTGGTGACGGCGGATATTGCAGAAACGATCTGCAGTTGGATCATTTCGCTGCCAGCTTTTGGCAAAGTCAAAAGTCCGAAGTCTACGGCGGCCCTGGCGCAGGCGGCACAGGTGGTTACCAGGAACAGTTCGACTACGGCTGCCAGTACAACTTGTCGCACGATAACGGTGAGTTTATTTTTCTTCGATTTTTGTTTCCAAACAAATCGCATGCCCAAAGCCGCCATCTTTGGCAACGCAGGAGTCCTTTTAGAAGCAAGAGTACAGTTATTCGATCACATTGCCTAATCATTTACAAATCATAACAAACATTTTTAATTTGAAACGATATTTTTAGGCCCACCTATTTGTTCAAAAATGTAACAACGATACTATTTTGTCACGGACGTATAACAATAAACTGTAAAATGTAACTTGTTATTATTCAAATTAATGGCTAAAAGTAGGAATCGTCGTATTTACAGCATTTAAATTATAACGTTATATCTAAGCCTAACAATCAAATATTTATTCGAGATAGATTGCGCGTATATGTTACAACGTAAAGATGTAATTTATATTTCTCGGAGCTACCGTAAATCGGAGGTTAGGGATTTGAGTCGGGTCCTTGGGTTTGTGCCCCACGCACCCTTATGGTAAACATGGCACCTGAGTAATGTGATACACTGATGTATTTTATATCATCAGTATCACGACAACGTATCTGCTATTGCAATTGATGACTAATAAGTTATTAATGGATTTCGTAGTGCTTAGACAGGCGTTTATGTATATTTTAGTAGTAGCTTTGAATTTTGAAATTGTGTATATCTGGTTCATACAACTTGGTATTTCACCTAAATCTATAATAGAAATGTAAAATTAATATTATTGAACTAATATTCAAAACAAATGAGTAGTTTTCAGCTCTTTTACTTTATTAAAAAAAGGTCAGACTTATTCTTTTATAACTTTTGAATATCTTATTGAGAATAAAATTGTGTATAGTGTTACTTATTGCATTTTTCTAAATTTGTTATAACAAAAAATAATTAGTCACTAGAAATTAGCACAAACAGAAATATAATATAGTGTGTACCAACAGTTAATATTTTTTTAAATAAGAATGTTCTTTTTTTCTAAGCCACAGCTAATTTATTTGATCGTCTATAATAGGTACCTCAATAACAAAACAAATAAACTTAACAATCAATTATTAACAAGTGTATTTGTTTTATAACTTAAAATTCAAATTAATTATTGCAAATGGCTCATTTTAATTATTAATATTTATTTTCGTATTAAATACTGAATTCAAATTGTATTTTCATATATTAAGAAAAATATTTAAATGTATTTGATATTGAAACTACATGTACTGAAAATCATTTTATGTATTGTCCCCTAGGGCTTCAGAAGAAAAATAAATTTTTATTTAATTACTATCATTGCTAACGAGTACTGGGTATTTAATAAAATATAAGTATACAAGTAAGTATACAAGTATTAAAATCCGTATTTGAATAAATTATAATATGTGAGCACATTATGGCATATGCTTCAAAAATACAAAAATAAATGTTAATTCGTATATTGTACTGTGTAAAGATTGTGTGTCTGGTCCCTAGTATATTAGGTAAGAGAAGCGAATCAAGAAGTGATAGCGATTAATCGAATACAACTATGTATCTCGCTATCGCATATTTTGCCATACCGCAACCCTAAAAACAAGTATTTACAAATCAAGTGTTCTGGTATTCTTGATTAGTCTGTCTGATGTTTTTTCGTTTTAGACATTCCAAACGATAAATCGCAAGTCAATGATCCTTGGCTGTAGAACCATTCGTTCTATATGCTGTATATGGTCCCTGCATATACGAAACATTATACTTGAGCGTCAACTAATTATACGTCGTTATTTGCAACATGTGTAAAGTATTAATTTATACCTACGTGGTTTTTATTTTCCTTTTTCTCGATGTGTTCAAAATACTTATTTCGTCTAAAATACTTCTTATTTTCAATTATATGAAAAAAAACACTATTAAAGATTTAAAATATTACTACAACTACTTATAATTTAAATTTGTAATTTAAAAATGTATATGTAGACACTTATAATTTATAATACTCAATCGACTTCATAATACATTTTTAATAGGTTTGGTATTTTCTTATTTTTGTTAAATTATGTCGTATCAATTGTGTTTAGCTTTTTTTTATAATTTTCAAGAATTGACGAACAAAAAATGAATAAAGTAAAAATATAAATAGATGGCTAGAAAACAACTAATTCTTTGGCTTACATATGGTATATAAAATGTATTATAGTAATAATAATAGAAATCGTAAATCTGTGTCAAATCCCAACACTGCAGTTTGCTTTTTTATTTCAAGTTAAAAGGTTTTCAAACATTATGAAACTATAAAAAATAAATTGATATACGAAGAAAAGATATTTTTGACGCTTCAAACCAGAGATTATGATATAGTACAAGTAAAATATGGTTGTATTTCAAAAGCTTACAATATGATAAATTAATATTATTTAACGTGATATCGATATAAATTTGTTTTAAATTCGTTTTTCTAATGGAAATAATTCATGTAAATAAATAGTTGGATAAAAATTTTTCTGAATTTGATATTATATTCAAAAAATTCATGCAGTTAATATATAGGTAGGAGTATAATATTTTCGATAGATTACTTCCTAATAAATTATCATAATATAAATACTACCTAGGTGACATTAGTTATTAACTATTATTAATATACTAGTTATGTATTTATTCTGTACTTAATACTAAGTTAGCATTTATATTCATGTTAGAGTATCTTTAAAATATTGAGATTTAGCTTGTCTAAGATAACATTGACCACATTATAGTAGATATAATCAATAAAACTTAGCTTGCAAGTCAAATCAATTTCATAATTGGTATTAATAAGTCGTACTCACTACTTATTGGCATGTAAAATCGTGCACTCCTAGATGATTATAATTTAAAATTCAATCAAAATCAACAACATTGTATGATCTTAGGAATGCTAACAAATATATATAGCTGTTTTATAATTGATGATTCTTGAACAGTAAATCAGTACGTACATTTCATTAAATTAATTGATACATACATATTAGCGTGTATAATTTTATTAATGTAAAATTATATATATATATTTTATATTAGTTTTTGTGTGATTTATTGAAATATTTAATTTGGAGGATAATCATATTTTGTAATTTTCACTTTCCGCTTGGACCAAACTTCTGTATGTGGGAAATTAATCAGTCTTTTGTACACGCCCGCTTTTCGAAATAACTGAACAATTTATCAAACGACGATTACTCGAAAAGTAATCGCACGCAAACGGCTAACTCGGGCTACAATTCGTTTGCGCACATTTACCTTTTTTCCAACTCGTCTGCGCAAAAATGCACAACTCGATTGCGCACATATATTTTGGCTACTTGTGACGAAAATCCCTAGTGTCAGAACTCGTTTGCTTATTATCGTTGATTATTATACTCCTTATAATTATGAGAGTTGGTTACTTTTATTATTTTGTTTGAGTTATTAACAATAACACTCGCAGGACATTTTTTTCTTAGTGCATCTAAAATTTGAACATCCACTCATTAAAACACAGCATTTACTAAATTTATAATTATCAATATTAAAACGTTGTTTTCCTCACCAAGATTCAAAAATATTAGACGTTTCTACGTCATATTAAGTTTTCGTCGTCAACACACTAGTCACCACTGTACCGTCCAAATCCATAGTCCATACTTACTGAAACTTTACGTGTCATGTATGTGAATGTGTCGTTGTGCGCAGAGTTATTTATTTTCAGGTAAACAGCTGATTTCGTCGTGCGCAAACGAGTTGTCGATTTTCAGATAAAAAATTTTAAATGTGCGCAAATGAGTTGCAGTGTTAACTCGAGTGTAAAATAAAAATGCGATAGGTAGAGGATCCCGTTTACGGACTATACTGAATGTATTGTTCATCGTGTCTTTGATTAAATAAAAATAATACATATAAAACACATTTATTTATTCAATAAATAAATTCAGCAAAATATAAACACTCGTATTAGGTATTCTCTGTTATTTCAGCAGATTTTACAGTTTTTACTGAAATCGAATTTATAATTTCATTAAATTGTGTAGAAGGGTGTGTATATATATATATTATATGTGCGTTTCCAATGTTTTAAGATAAACAATTTCAAATACTTGGTGCTAAGACTTACGTTTGTATTGTCTAAAATCGTGTAACATCGTATTAATCGTATTATTATTATTCGAATAATGTTAAAGCGTTTCGCTGTCCTACAATATCAGACGCAGTGCTGGATTAAGCACTGTTTAAGCACCCTTTAAGCAGAGTAGGCGCCCGCCTTAGGGTCTCACTCATTTAAGGGGCCATGTGAAAATGGAAAACTATATATTTTTTTTTATTTAATAATACCTGTATTTTAATTACGAATTTTCAGGACAAAAGTCATTATAAAATATAATATATATTAAGTTGTAGGTGTTATATGCAATAATAATAACAAAATTATTTAAAAAAAAAATAGAAATAATATAATAATTCATTCATTTTTCTTGCAAATAAAAAAAATTAATAAACATGATTTTATTTATTAATAATAATTGGTTATTACTAAAATTATTTATTTTAATTATTGGATTATAACGTTAAAGATGTATATAAAAAATAATTTTGTAGAGCTCAACATTTTAATTGCTTAGGAGCCCACAAATTTTTAATCCGGCACTGATCAGACGTCATCTTGTTCGTAACATCCATTCCCAGTATTAATATACGAGTAATAACACATTAATACTAAAACAACGATCACGCGTTTTATGATTGTTTTTAACGTTTGTCTAAAAATACGGCAACAGTGATATAACAAAACCACCGTAATCGTGTAAACCTCATTGGTTGCTTCAAAGTGATGTTTCGCAAGAATTCTATTTGGTCGGTCATCTGACTCGAACACACTAGATAGTTCACGTGACTTTTTTGTGATGAAGAAAAATTTGGTAACACATATGGAAGAAAAATATCCTTCAAAAACATAAATGGTTAAAGTAATTGAATAACGATTCCCCGTCACTATATACGATCAGGACGCAGGGGGGTACCCCAACTAATTTTCAGAAATGTTAGCATCCCCCTACTATTATTGCATTATAATTATAAGGCTTAAAAAGTTTTGGGGACCCTTTTTTTTTAAAGTAAATAAGTAAATAGAGTCCCCCTTCTTTAATTTTGCCAAGTCGAGTACTGTATACGATGTATATGTATTAACTGCAAAACGACGCAACAACGTGTAATTATTACGAGCTGCTAACACAATTTTCTCGCGAGCGTTGTAGTGGTGGTGGTTAGCTGTACATATATATATATATATGTGATATCGAACCCAAGTGGGGCCACGGGTACTCGGCATATTTATTGTTATTGTTATTATCGCGCAGAAAACCATGGTTAGTGCGGACACAAACCAAACGCAGAAGAGCACTAAGAGCAATTATACATACGGACATAAATAAAAATTACAAATTAAAGAATATGATATATACGTCGTATGTATAAAATATTCTTTATTCGAGCGTACACGATTTGAAATAATAAAATCAACACGTTGATTTCATTATAATCGTTAATCGTTACAGATATACATTGTTACACTACTTTATACTCGTGTATATAGGTACTTTCATTGAAATTTTCGTATCCAATGCCAATAACGTTATTGAATTTTCTTACACGGTCAAAGAACGTTCTTCTCAAACAACGGCATCGTCTAGTGAGGTATAATATCTCCGTCTACTGTCTGTTTGTCTTATGATTTCGATAAATGGTCCGTTTTGTTAAATGTTGTACTCTCGTGTTTTTGTTTTTGTCCACCCTAAACTGATTTGCTTAATGTTCGTCGAGTCATATATGATCATCTATGTTATTATAGTACAATATCGATCGGAGATTTTAAAAACTAGAACAAACGATATCTTTGTGCGCTTGTTGTTATTTTGTAAGGCGTAGCGTTTTTCATTATTTACAAACGGCTGCAGACGCATGCATTTTGCTGTGCGGCGTTCATAAAAAAAAAATACATACTAGAAATAAAAAACCCTATAGGCTAATATCATATCATGTGTTGGTCATAAATGCAGTTTGTGTTTTGACTAAGAAAATGTGTCTTGTACGTATAAATATAGATAATATATTATTATGTATAAAGAACACCCCCGTTGTTTTGTTGTATAATATTTACACATACGTATATAGGTCAAACAACGTGTTTTTTTTTCTTCCATAAGCTTGTCGCTGTAATATTTTTTATCCTGACCTATATATATATACTTTAACGAAGTTAAGGTCCTTATGGCCACCGCGGATGTAGTACATAATGTAATATATACGAGACGACCGCAACGTCTAATTGTGTGGGCCACCCCCTCGGGTGAGCACAGTGCCATCGTGTGTCAACGCGTGTGTGTTTGTTGAATGCGAGAAAACGAGAGTAAATTATAATAATACAATATTCGTGTAACATGCAGAACAGGGTGCATAGTACCTATAATAATGTATAGATACCATGTATACTTATAATAATGCTCTGCACGTACCGTAATCATCTGTGTACAATAATATCTAGACCGAGCAGCAGCAGCAGCAGCAGCAGTAGATATATATGTATAATATGAAGGTATTTTAATATGTTCGTATGTATGGTCAAGAGGTTCGGTCGTCGAACGCGCGTCGGGTCCTTCGAAACGCACGTGGCCTTGTCGAAAGAGAGTGAAAAAAACCAAACCGAACCACTTGTTTCTCGTGATACACATCGATGACATATTTCTGCCTCGTTTTTTTAAAAACCGTCAATTTCGCCACACGTTGGCTAAAAGTCAAAAAGGTACAAGTGGGTGTGAAAAAATATATGCGTCCGCAGACGCCAGCCAGCCGTATAATATTGTGTTATATTTTAGTATATTTTTAACCGTCTGTATAGCGTATTTCAAATGTTTGAGATTCATCTGATTTTTTTTTTTTTTTTCGTCCGTCCGTTTCAGGTTATAACACGGCGGTCATGAGGAGATCGGCGGCCGCCACGGGACAGATCCAACAGCCCGTCATGGACAACAGCATAAGCGCCGGCAACGGACTACCACAGCACATAAGTCTCCACCACTACTACGATTGCCCCAAGTTTTGTTGAGTTCGTGTTGTACGCGCGCGGCGTAAATCCGGTGTTCGCGACTGTTAAGCGTCTCCAAAGACCGTAATGGGTTTTAATATGAAATACCGCACGACTTGTATCAAACTGAATAGATCGAATACATTTGAATAAAACAACGTGTGATTGTTGTGTGTTCGACGGGACGTAAAATAATATTATCATGACCACATTACGAAATGTATTTAACATCAAAACGGATAATCGAAATATGTAAAGGGATGAAAAGTCATGCGCATATTTATAAGCAATACATACATGTATACATAGTTATCTTTAATTTCTAATTAATTTTTATCGTAACGTCAGAATCTGAAAACATTTGTTTAAAGCGTTTCATCGACTTCACGTTGCGTTGTAGCGATGGAAAAAAACCCTTTTATTATTTCTTTTATTTTCTTCTGAAAACTTTTAAAGTAACCATTATTATTTTGATAAGTAAAACACATAGGTTTGAATGAACTTTTCTTTATTACAATTTCAATTTTGATACGAAAAACGAAGTAATAAAATACTAAAGATAAAGAAAATAAAATTTGTTTCTTCGCGATGTGTTTTTACAAAAAATGTTAAACCACCACCGTCAAGGTTAAATTTGATTTTTTTTTTTTTTTTTTACTTATAATCTGTATAGTTTTAATGTGTACATTTATTTATTGATAATTTTAGTTTTATATAATTAATAATTGAGTCATTCACGCCATTTGTACGTGTACTGGATTACGTCGATAAAATGCTAAAGTTTGACGTTAGGTACTTATAAAAGTCTGAACCGAATTTATTTACGACAATAAATCATAGATATGTTTTAATAGGCGCCGATGTCGATATGGTTACCAGAGACACATTTATCGAAGGCGCATAATGTTCAATGGACGGTTGTTAAAACTTCGAAAAGCGTTCGTCTTTTGTCATGCTGGTGAGCTTTCAGACTTCGGCGCCGCGCCGTTGCTTTTATATATTTATGATGATCATTATATAATATAACATAGCTCATGTAAACGGTTATAATATTTGTATGTAAATAATATTGTTCGTAACCAGTTTTCTTAAATAATAAAACAAATTTCGTATAGAAATCGTAAAAAAAAAATGTGTCTTTAATATGTTTAATATTGTCAATATATCACGACAATATAATAGTACAACTTAACTATTGGAACCCGGCACTGGTGTCCCGCATTTGAATCTGTACACTTGCGCACGTATATTGTACACGACGAGGGTAAACAATTGAAAAAAGTGAAAGGAGAGGATATCGAGAAAATGAGTCGAACCCTTCATAGCGAACACGGGCGGTAACGCGGTATTCAAATAATTCTTATGTCCCCCCATACGCGCGGACCACCCGGATCCATATGCGGTACTCTAAAATGCTTGCACACACTTATGTATACACTATACATATCATACAAGCGTGTCATGCGGACTTTTGGAATACACAAGAAATCGTTTAATTTTATTTTTCTTGTCAGAAACGCCGATCCGGCCGAACATGTGTTAACGCGGGTGCGTGCGTGAACCCGCGTGCGTCTCGTGTTTAATGGTTTACAGCGTCCGCGTACGAATGTGTGCACGTACATCAAACCTCTAGACAATAAAACGCATCCGAAACGTAAACAGAATCCCTTCGTGTAAACATGGCCCGGAGTCAAAGAATTCGTACCGATTTCTAATCCTTTAATTCTATTAAAAAAATATATATATAAATATAATAATGATAGCCCCCGGAAGAAACTACCGAAAAGAAAAAGAATTATATGTATACGATATGAATTATTGAACTTTTTTCTCTCTTTTTTTACGTGCACTAAAAATATAAACTTATACACGCGAGCCACACACCCATACAATATGTATATTTACCGCGAGCCCAGTCGTTTCGATAAAACTCGCAGCGCCCACCACCCGTTCGAGCGGGAAAATATCTCATCGTAAAAGAAAGGTTTCACTATTTTTCTATGTGGTATATCTATATATATATACCGAATAACGCCGTGATCGTCACACGTTCTAATATCGTTGAGTTCTTTCATTTTTTTTTCACATCCGCGCACGTTTTTCTCCGTGTTTTTTTTTTCTTAGTCGAAAGCGAAACGAAAACAATCGTGTGTTCGTCGCTTGTATCGATAATAGATATTGCCCAGTTCGAATACGACTCAAACCGAAAAATATCATAAGCGCACGTATGGTCAAAAATCCAAATCCCCGTCGCAGACCCGAAACCAAAAACGTTCCCTTGGCCGTTTTTCGGCGAATACTGCGTGCCGGTGCTTTCTGCGGGATCCGAAAAGACAAATAAACATTCATTCTCGGTGAAAATAAATTTCGATCAACTGAATATCCATCGATTAACGTTCGTCGGCAACGTTACTTCATTATTATTCCTTGGACACAGTTAATTTTTTCCCGATTCCGCGCTCAATCTGGTACATAATAGATAATCTCAGGCCCGTATTTAAAAATTTTGCGCCATCGGGCATATAATTTATGTCCCCCCCCCTACTAAATCAATAATAATAATATAACACCTATTATTTCGTCCATAATCGAAATTTTTTAATATTAAAATCTAACTTATAAATGAAAATCGTTTAATACTTTTTTTAATTAACAAATTAAACAAATAACAACATAATAAAACATACTATTTTATTTTTTTACTATCTTATTTTTTTTCATTAAGTACATCATTTTTAAAATTTAGATTTGCTAAAATATTTTGTCACCCCTGAGACTTGACGCCCCCGGGCATGTGCCTACCCGTGCCCCCTCCCTAAATACGGGCCTGGAGAAGCTTATCACTGTTGACTCACGCGTAGATATATAAGAGTATACGCATGTATACGACGAACAGTTTGAAACTTAATCTCAAGCAAGCTTTTGCCAATGTTTCGTCGTTAAGTACATTTCTTAATGGTTATTTCACTATTATATATATATATTTCGATACTAGATTAATCGAAAAATGTTGGACGGATTCGACATAACTACGCGAACGCAATAAAATACTATATGGTGGAATGGTCAATATTTTCCAAAATGAGATGTTTTTAAGTTTTGACAAAGTTCGTTGCGCTGTAAAGTTTTATGTACGTATTTTCGTGTGTTTTGTTACGAAATAAATCGTGCTTGCTATAAGAAAAACGCATAAAAGGAGAACATATTCTCGCAATTGATCGCAAAATTTCGTTTTTCATCACACAAAATTGTTCTTGTCGTATTTTCGACGCGACAAAAGTAAGACCTTTTTTTACTATCGAAAAATTACTTTATACGAACACATTTATATGTGTGTGTAAACCGCATGATTATGTCGTTTGTAAAGTTAAATATTTTTATCTCTATGCTCTTTGAAACATCGAGTTGTAACAGTTAATCCATCGAATAACGTTAACTTATATTGATAATCACGTTATAATGTATAAAATATACATCGTGTTATATAGGTACTATATGTGCATTATCTGCATGACGTCAGAGAAAATAGTACTACAGTGGAATTGCGTAGGAGTTCAAAAATATTTTGTGACTCTGATCAACTTAAAGTTGGCTGGTTGCATGAAACCTATAATTATAAATGGGTTATATTAGCGGTTTCCAAACTGTCCGATCGTTTCTAAAGGGCTCAGTTTGTTTTACCATAGAACATTTAAAAACGTAACAGTAATATTTTTACAAAATTCCGTCACTCAGATATAATTCACCAATACGTATACAAACAATTTTAAAATCCCGATAAGAAAACACAATTTTTTAATTTTAGATAAACCGCATTATTTTCGGATCAGATATATTGTACATAAATATAATATTAAATGTACACCAACTCATTTTTGAGTTTCCTTCTGTATAAATACATATCATGTGTAATATGCTTCGTAGAAAACAGACAAATAAAACTCAAAGCTAAATATTTCTTGGAGCTCTATGAAAAAATGCTGGTTAAAAAAAGAAAAGGATTTGTCGCTGAAAAAGTTTGGAAATCCCTGGGTTATATTAATATAATATAATCTGCTGTTATTAATACGAATTTATTTTGTATTTGTTTGTTATTAATTATAATGAGCAGACATAAGATAATTAATCTACATAAGCATGCAAAGGTTTCGTTGAACACTCTTCGTAGTGTACATGCATTAGGTTACGTTATCACAAGCACGTTACAAGAACATTTCTTTTAGGAAAAAATTATAAATCATGTATTTACGTAAAAAAATTTGAAAAAGAAAACATGAATCGAAACCAGTAACAATCTACAAAAATATATAATTGTTCAAAACCAATTTATTTCAAAATTTCAACAAAAATTTTCATTTTTTACTGTTTTTTTTTTTTTTTTTTTTATAAAATTTGAGTCTTGTAAACGAAACGGTGAGTTTTATAACCGAATTTTTTATAATGTATTTGGATACATTCAGACCGTTCCAGACGACTTTGGGTCTATTAAGCGACTGAACCCTATATCCGCGAGTCTTGTAAGCGGCGTCCTCTGTATATGCAATCACATTCAAGCTAATTCATCCCATGATTCGTGCACTAATTTCAACTAATTCTTGTTATTAAAATCACATATAATGTTACTACTTGGACGCTGTGATACCTCCTAAATAAATTTATAAAATTTATAAATAAATTTCGTTGTTATGGCTTTGGTCATGGCTTTTCATAAAAATGTGTAAAACAGTTCGTACCTGGTGTTCGGCGCCACTGGTAATAATAATAATAATATTGTTTGCTGAACGTTTGACACTCGGAGAACATCAACAATATTATAATACACTCATATAGGGACTGGTGATAAATAAATATAAACGGTAATAAACCTACAAAATTTGTAGGAACAAACTAACATTAAGACTTGTAAATATGTTGTCGTATTATAATTTTTTTTTTTTCATATGACATCGGAGTCGATTATATTTTATGCAATGTGTTGAATACATACGCTCGCAAATCATTTCGGTATGTGTAAAGGTATACCTGAATAACAAGTCTAGCGGAGAATGACTTGAACTCAATTTTCTTGAATTATCTGTGCAGCAATTTAAAATTTTCAATGTTTCATCACGCGTCTTCATTTATATTCATAATAATTTTTTAATTACTGCGTAATTCTGGATAATTGTGTTTTATTACAATACTTATTAGACGTACGAAAACAACTGACTAATGATAAACCAGAAATGTCTTCATGTCACGTTTTTCTTCACTAGGAAGTTTATTACGCAGTGGATTATACGGAGACAATGTTGCCAATGTTTATTTTTTATTTCTCGAAAGCGTAAAATGTTGTAATAATGACAATAAAACATGGCTGTATTCAGGGGTTCCTGGTTCAACTCCCTCCCTCGAAATTGCACTGAAAAAAAATTTTAATTGTCTTTCCTTTATGTAGGTACCTGCAAATCGTGAAAAAATATTTTTTTATTTTTAATTTTAATGCCACAAATAGAATAAAGTTATAAAAAATATGTGACGTTGTTGTCAACCAAAGTTTATGGACGTGACAAAGAATAAATG